CAATGATATGGTGTTTCAGGTCCAGGATGTTATAGGAGGAGCTAAGCGACCTCACGCGTCGATAGCGACAGTGGTGGAGGGAAGGAGGATATTAATATATATAAATTTATATATATTATATATATATATATATAATTTATATATATATATATTTTCATGTTACATCATGTTACATGTGTCATGTTCATAAATACATACGTATGATCATGATATGGTGTTTCAGGTCCAGGATGTTATAGGAGGAGCTAGCGACCTCAGCGTCGGTAGCGACAGTGGTGGAGGGAGGAGGAGATGGCGGCGTCAGCAGTGGCAGCGTCAATGGTGGAGGAGGAGGAATAGGAAAGTAGCAGTTTCTTACTTCTTCAGCAGTAATTGATAGAGAGAGAAAGAGGGAGGGACAATGCCCATAGGAATATTTTTGACCAAATGTAAAATATTAGTTAGGTGCTGCTAAAAAAGAGGAAATTACTTAGTAATCATTTTATTATTATTATTATTATTAGATTATTTATATTTTTATCATTTTTTTTTGAACAACTATATTTGTAATCATTATATTTGTTGTTTCTAAAAAATAAAAGTAAAGGTGGTAATGCGTTTTATGTAAAAGAAAAATAAAAAGAAAAATAATATATAATATATATATATATATATATATATATATAATATATATATATATATATATATATATATATATAGCATTATTTATATGTTAATAAAAATAATATTAAAACAAATAAGGAAGTAAATGAACTAAAATATTGAAGTAAGTAAGATATTGAAGGTGATGTGATGTCCCACCATGATATCTTGCTGGCGCTGCCTGGCCTCACTGATCTTCGTCAACCGACAAATATTATTGCGCGTCCCTGTTAATATATAGCATTATTTATATGTAAATAAAAATAATATTAAACAAATAAGGAAGTAAATGAATAAAATATTGAAGTAAGTAAATATTGAGGTGATGTGATGTCCCACCATGATATCTTGCTGGCCTGCTGGCCTCACTGATCTTCCACCGACAAATATTATTGCGCGTCTGTTAATATTGTCAACACCCATATGTAAAGTCAAGCATTTGGTCCACATCACATGCAAAGAAAATATTTGCTATTGAATATAATAGGGCAAATTGCATATTTTAAACCTTGTATTTTTTAAAAAATTTTTTTTTGGCTTTTTACATTTTGTGATGGTCTCATAAAACACTAAGATCGCTAACTCTTAGTGCTCCACAATTACTAAATTCTACAGTTATTTACCGAATTTCTAATCAATGTGTTCGTATTTCAATCTAACATTATTGCATTCAGTGGGCTTTATTGCCACACCATGTAACCCACCTCTTCATGGGTTGACTGTTGACTTTGGAAGATAAATACATGTGAGTTCTCTAATCTTTCTTAATTCGACAAGAAGCCGCAATCTGATCCTAGTCACGGTGATAGTTGTTTCTTCTAGGTTTTCAAATTTCAGTCCAAAACTATGCCTCAGATCTACTTCACTCGTAAACCAGCAGATAATCGAACAGAAATTTTTTTTGCAGAGATGCCAAGAACAAACAAGAGCTCATCTCCTATACCACTAAATGAAGTAGGTGAGAGCTCTTCTTTTTCAGCTGATTTCATTTCATTATATGAAAGTCTCCCTGATCATCTCATGTCCTGCTTAGACTATTTTGCTATACTTACCAAGAGATGTCCTGTGAGGAAGGATAAAATGGTTCGGCTTTTAATGGCTGAATTAATACCAGAAAAAGAAGGGGAAAACTTAGATAATGTAGCTAAACTCATTATTGAGGAGTTTATTGATCTAGGCACGCTAGAAAAATCAGACAATTGGCATGAAATTCGAGTTACTAAGCCATATAGCAAATTATGTGTTGTTGAGGTAGATGAAATGGAATTTTTAGCTAAAGCTGCTAATTTACCTGTACGGGCTATAATAGAAGATGATGGGAAGAACATTCCTCCTGACTTTGGAACTCTTCGAGTTCGTTCTCTATTTTTGATTACTGTAGATAGACGTTATTTTTCTTTTAATTCTACTCGAACTCGAGGCCTTCCCCTTCCTATATTGTAACCATTTGCAAGTTGCAGCATCTATTGGTGTTAAATGTGGATGGCATGATAGAGAGATTACCTGAAGAAGTGGGTGATTTGGTTCACTTAAGATATTTAGGTTTGACTTGGTCAAATCTGGATGAACTTCCACCCACATTAGCCAATCTTCAAAACCTACAAACTTTGGATATAACCGGCAGTAGATGGCTGACCAAATTGCCAATACAAGTCTTGAATATTCAACAGTTGAGACACCTCATAATGTCCCATACCTTGAATAATGGCGAAATTCGAGTTCCAAGTGGGATTGGAACATTGAAAAATCTTCATGCTTTAGACGGTGTATATGCTGGAGGAGGCATTGCCAGCGAATTAAGCTCCTTAATCCAATTGCAACAGCTCGGTGTTAGGCGTGTGTCTGAAGATCATGCCACTGAACTATCTGCAGCCATTACGAAGATGGAAAATCTTGTCTCCTTGTCACTTGAAGCAGAGGGATGCTATAACGAATCATTTCTTCCAGAGTTGGAATCATTGTCCCCTCCACTTTCTATTCAAGTACTCGCATTACGTGGTGGCCTTGTCGAAATGCCCATTTGGCTTGCTGCCATGGAAAACCTGACTGAGTTATCTTTAGCTAATTCCAATCTATTAGAGAACCCAAGCCTTGCTCTGCAATTTCTTCCCAAATTAAAGGTTCTTTATCTATTGAAGGCTTATAATGAAATAAAATGCATTGGCAAAGAGTTCTGTGAGGCAGGTGGGTTTCCAAAGCTTGAAACTCTTGTGATTGCTTCAGAATATTTCCTAGTAGAGTGGACAGAAATAGTTGATGGGGCTTTTCCAAGTTTAAGATGTCTTGAATTTCGTAACTGTATGAAGTTGAGATTTCTTCCTGAAGGCTTACAGAATATTTCTACTCTTGAAGAATTGGTTTTGTTTAATACTCATAAAGACCTTCCTAGCCGGTTACTGAGCGAAGAGAGATACAAGATCAAGAATATTTTACATCTCTACTGCTAAAGGGAAATGGGAGGTTGGTACACCAAACCAATCCATAAAAGTTGTTTTTAAAAAAAAAAAATTATTACTTTTTTTGTTTTGTTTTATTTTATTTTCAATGAATACAGAAATTTTTTTTGACAATTAAAAGTTTATTTTTGATTGGTTTATTAGTTAATGAGTGGGTCCCTTACAGCGCATGTCGAGGAGTCTCCCCGGGATAGAAGTAACGTTTTGGGCACTAAATACAAATCTGACAAGGCAAGCTTTATTCTATTATCAGTAACAACGCCCTTTCTCAATTCTGAAAGATGTGAACTTCCTCAAGAATTTTTATTCTTAAAGATGTGTTGTAGTGTCCATTGGAATACTAGGAAACATGAAGATATTCCATAACAACCAGATGAAACCGAGCTTCATTTATTATGTCTTGTAAATATTTAATTTGGGGTTAATTATATTTGAGGTGTTTAAATTTTTCTAAGTTTTATTATTTTAATGTTTGAATTATGGTTCTGAAAATGGGATCTATTGGTTCGATTAGTTTAATGGAAAATCAAAGTATGATTTAATCCATATTGAATAATAAAAATGTGGGTTTTAAAATCGATGAAAATCACTGAACCGAATCAGTGGTTCAATTTAAAATCTTCTTTAATATATGGGCTTCTTTAAAATCATCTGGCCTATTGATTTGATAACTTTTAAGTCTTTTTATTTTTAAGCCTAAAATCCTATTTTTTAACCAAAACAACTAAATCGCACAATTTCAAAGTTTAATGTGAAAAATAATATTATATTTTAAGCTAATTAATTAAAATTTTTCGTTTAATATAAAATTTTTCACATTAAATTGTTCGGCAAATTTAGTTGTTCTAGTAGCTGTTGGTTGTTTCTAATAGTTAGCTGTTAGCTTTCAACTGTTTAAATGGCGGTTTAAAACGAAAATGTTGGGTAAAAATAACTATTTGATTGACAATTAAATTTAAAATGACAAAAATAAACATTGTAATATTCACTTAGAATTTTCACTTATAGCTATAAAATTAAACTCATATAAAAAAGTATTCTCAAAAAAGAAAAAAAAAACTCATTATAAAAAAAATGATGATTTCACCAAACCTAAATTCTCAAAATTTTCAAAATTTCAAGAAGCAAAAATTGAAAAGTTCACAATTTTATAAATAAAATTACTTTTAATATTTTAGGGTATCAATATTTTAATTTTTAATAATTTTCTTGAGTTCAAATGCAAATATATAAACAAATATTTTTTTTACTATCAATCATAAACAAGCCAAGTATAAAAAGTACTAAAAAGAATAATGTGATAAAGAAGAATTTTAAATTAATAAACGATAGGGTTGTAAAAAAATTTATGAAAAAGAACCTAAAAAGACATAATAATGTGATAAAGAAGGATTTTACATTAATAAAGGATAGGATTGTAAAAAAAATTCTCTGAAAAAAAAACTAAAACACTAAATGTCAGGTTCTATCCATTGGTGACTGAAAATAATAATATAGAGAAATAATGTTTTGAATAAATCAAAATTTTAACTAATACAAAACACTAAAATTGCGCTAGACTACAGAATTATTAATAATTAATTGGATATATTACTAAGGCTCTTCGTTCCTCCTTGCAGGTAGGTTTAATAGAGATCGAATTTAATAGTTCTTCTCACGTGGGTTGCCACCGTATGTTGCCATTGTATATTGTTTTCTATTATTCTTTTTTTTCATTAAGAAAGTTCTAAGTGGAAAACGTAAATGATTCCAAATAATTTTCTAATCTAAAGTAGTAAAAGTTTAAAGAAAATTAAGTTGTTTTTGAGAGACATTAAATCATTCCTCAACATTAAATATTTAAGGGACTTTGTCATATGACATGTTTCTATGGATCGGATGCGGTACTAGCATAAACATTGATTGATACAAGATAATGATATAGTTTAAACAACTTCATTACTTCATCAATTCAAAATTTACGACTTCCATCATATTCTCAGAACATCCTATCCACATATGGCTAATGAAAATCAAGAAATATAGAGTTTTCCACAATCAAAATCAGATCTCTTCAAAAACAAACCAGCAAGATATTTAACCATAATTCTGTCTCTCAGGAAGTTCAATATTTTCCCATCACTTTCTTGTATAAATCCAACCAAATAAGATGTGGCTATGAGCTGAAAGCTTCTCCACCTCCTCTCTTGTGCATATTTTTTCAACCCAATTTCAATCCTTTTATATTCTTCTTTTTCTTTCTCTTCATTCTCTACATTCACTTGTTTCATCAATGCCTCACCAAGGCATCTAGCCAAGACAACTCCATCTTCTAAAGCAGCACAGCCACCTTGACCGATGTCCGGAGTCATAGGATGGAGAGCATCCCCAGCTACAGAAACATTTCCTTTGCTTATGTTTGCCCATATCAATTCCCATGGATGTCTATATCTTAATGGAGAAGATGATATATCATCTAAATTAGTGGCTTCTACTACAGCTCTCAAGTGATCACTAGCCGCATTTTCAAGTCCGCTAAGAACAAATTGCTTCATTTTGTCTGGGTTGTCATCTTGATTTTTGTCTGCAAGAAACCATGAATGAGATTCATATATAATCCGATATTTTTTTTGATTAATTTAGCTTTGGTAGTTCATTACCTGAGTTAGAAGGAGTCCAAGTAAAAAACCAATATATAGTTGTATCATCACAAGGAAGGAGACCTGAACGAATTCCATTACCAAAAAACTGCAAGAACTTGGGACCATACCCATGGCTTCCCTTAAATTTTGCATAGCCCCTGATAGCTGACCTCCCAGTAAAAGCTGGCTTTTTTAATCCTAGCCAGTTTGCCACCACTGAATTGACCCCATCACATCCGATTAGTACCTTTCATTGACAAATTCAGAGAAAATATTACATTTTGTGTACAAAATGCACCCTGACACAGTTGACAAGCAATATTTATCGTTTATTACCTTGGTTTTGATGATAGAGCCATCAATAAGATGGACCAGCTTAAAGTAGCCTGATTCCTCAATAGAAACTACTTTGGATGAGTACTTTATGGTATCATTTGGGAGTTCTTGCACAAGAGTTTCTAGCAACAATTTCCTTTTCACACATCGAACTTCATGATCTCCACTGCACGATCCAACATCCAGTTAGGTGACAATTAAGTCTTTTTGGGATTTAGTTTCATTAATGCAAAATGAAATAATAGAGCAAATTAATGCTAACTTGAATACTTACTGCTTCCCTTTGGCTTTAAAGCAGATTTCTGCTCCCCTTTGGCCTGTGATTGTAGAGGTGGCAACTACTCTGCAATCATATATGGTATAGTTACAAATAACCATGGGAGTTTAATGACTAATATTGAAACATAATAAGGAACTTAAACAATAATGTATAAAATAAGCCGGAAAAATGGTATATTACCCATCAATTCCCACATGTTTTTCCCGGAGAAAATCACCAACACCAATAGCATCTAATGCCTTCCAAGCATTAGTCCATGTCGTTAATGCAAAACCAGTCACTCTCAAATTAGCTGATGATTCCAACACTAAGCTTTCAATTCCAAGCCTATTACAAGCAATCAACCGTATGTTTGAGTCCTATCTCGTAATACAGAAGATTAGGGATTCAAATTTTCTGCTATTGATTGAAATTTCTAAGTTCAAATTTCATGTAAGAAAAGAGAGAGACTCTTATTCTTCAGCTCATATAGCGATATAAACTAGTTTGGAAGTAAAATTTAGGCATACCTGTGAAGCCCCAAAGAAGTGGTGAGTCCAGCTATTCCAGCTCCTACAATCACAACATCTTTAGCTACTTCCATGATACCCTTCTTATTCAATTCAGACTGTAATTCTTACTATATAAAGATATGGGATAATCTTTATTTATTTATTTTTTTATGAAATTTTGAAGGGTAGTAATTGGGATGAGAAGAACAAATTGGAATCTTTGGCCTCAGATAAGAGATGATGACGAAAGGAATGACCTCAATAAGATGAATGATTGCAGAAAATATACAATTAGTCCAAGCTTTCATATTTTTTAACGTTACTGAACAAAATTTTCAAACATGTGGTCATATTTTCAAGTTTATTATAGTTATTATTAATTAAAAAATGTATAAAATAAAATTTACCATCGGAATTGATATGCGCAGAAAGAACTAACATCCTTTAACCAAGATTCAACAATGGTAGATTCACAGTTATCTGGTGCGACGCTAAAAAAAAACAAAAAAAAAAAAAGTCCAGCTCAATGCACTTAGAACATATATGATTTATTAGAAAATATATAAAAATATAATTTAATATTATAAAATATTTGATGTAATAGATAGTTGAACCTTTAAACCAAGAATTCAACAAAGGTTAGATTCCACAGTTATCTGGTGCGACGCTAAAAAAAACAAAAAAAAGAAAAAAGTCCCAGCTCATGCACTTAGAACATATATGATTTATTAGAAATATATAAAAAATATAATTTAATATTATAAAACTATTTGATTTGTATATAGATAGTTGAAAGGGGGGGGGGAGGGGTCAAACTTTGGTACCGCTATCATCGGGGGGGGGGGGGTCAAACTTTGGTACCTATCATCATCAGCGTTTTCTCATAATATTCATTTTATTTTATGTTAAATTTTTTTTTAAAAATCACATTTAGGTTTCAATGAGATAAAATTAAAGAAAAAAGGTTATTTTATATTTCATAAGCCCAAAAGAAAAATTTTACTAAAGGAAATTGGGTGGGCTAGGAAGTAGGAACTGAGAAAGGTTAAAAATATTATTAATAAATTTTACTTTTCCACCTTAAAAAAACTAAATCATACTTGTCCTAGTAAAAATAAAAATGGTATTTCAGGATGCTAGTCATATTTCAAAAAAAATTATAATAAATAACCACTCAATACATAATTTAATTCTGAAATTTTAATAAAGAAAAAGAAATTTGTAGCACGCTCATCTTTATTTTGCAATAATCTCACATCTCTCTATATTAAAAACAATAATTTTTAAGATTTTTGTCCTTTATCAAAATATTGATTTGATATGGGATGAATATAACTTTTGAATAATATTTTTATATTTTTTAGCTATCCAATAAGTGTTTAATTAATTTAATTTTATAAGTTAACGTGTTTAATAGGTCAAATAAAATGTTTCATATATCTAATTTAAAAAATTTATGTGTTTCATGAGTCAAAATAAAAATTGAGAGGATCATAAAGTTTTTCTTAAAAAGTGCAAGGGGTGAATTTATATTTTGAGCCAATAAACAACTATACGACGAAAATATTAATTATGTCACAATTGTTTTGATGATTATAATCTAGAATCTACATTTGTCTATCTATAATTTGTCTATATTACATGAGATTTCTGATAACGCTCTTAATGAAATTTGAATATTCGAAAATAATATCTATCATAACCAATTAAAAATTATATTTTATTACTTGATTTGATATAATTTATTAAAATAACTTTTAGACAATACATAAGAATAATTAGGCATTTCAAAACTTTAAGTTTTATCTTTTTTAATAAATATATATATGAAAATGAGATATTTAAAAATTTTTATATTTTATTTTTCAAATTTACTTTTTAAATATTTGATTATGTTTTTACTATAATTTAAAATATTTTATATAGTAGATAGATAAAAAAGAAAAATGTATATTTTTTATAATATTCTTTTTTCTTTATGTTTATATAATTTGATTGGATATATTTTTTAAAAAATAAATTTTTAAATAAAATTGGATATATTTTTTAGAAAAATAATTTGTTAGAATAAAAATATACATATTGATGCCTTCAATTTTTTCTTTATGTTTATATAATTTGATTGGATATATTTTTTAAAAAATAAATTTTTAAATAAAATATACATAATTATGCCTTTCAAAATTTTAAAATTTTTTTTCTTTTTTAACCAAAATGAATATATGTATGTGGGACGACGAATAGTTGAAAATTTTAATTTTTATACATAATTAAGCCTTTCAAAATCTTTAAATTTTTAATTTTTAAAATTGAACGAATATAAATAACAAGTAAAAGTGAGCAACGATATAAAAAAATTAAACAAGTACAGTGAATATGTAAGGCACTTCGTAAAAAGACTAGTAATATATAAAAGTACTTATGGAGAAAAGAAAAATTAGGATTGAAAAAAATGTCCCTACTAAATCTATAGACCGACAAAAATATCATTAAAGATTTTAATTTTATTGGTTGAAAAATTAATCATAATCTTATTTTGATTGGTTACATTAATCGTCTATTTAAATTTAAATTCTATTATATAAATTAAGAAATTATATTATATATGTATATATTTAATATAGTAAGAATATAATATCATCAAAGATCAATTATGTTAATTTTATTGCTTGAACAAATAAAGGTAATTTAAATTTGATTGGTCGATAGATCTAAATTTTTTTTTTTTTTTGCTAGAAAGGGAGATACTTATTATTAAGCAATATCAGCTGACAAAACCTCCACAATACAAGGGGGAATCAAGTCCCAATTTTGGAAGCAAGCATAGAAACAAGCATGTTGAGTTAGAACATGTGCAGGCTTGTTGGCTTGCCTCGTTACCCAACCCAACGAGACATTAACAGCTTATTTTAAAGTTTCACGTATAGAAAAAATGAGAGGGGCCCAATCAGAAAAGTCCTCAGCACCAAAGTTAACAACATTCACAAGACCAAGGCAATCTGACTCAATTTGAATGTTATGGACGTGAAAATCTTTGAGCCAAGAAAGAACCTCACGAAGTCCAACGGCCTCTGCAATGTGAGGGGCCATTATGCCGGGTGGAAAACCATATACAACAACCATAGATGAGCCAACTTCGTCTCGTAACACAGTAACAAAGGAGGTTGAGTTCCTGCCTAGAAACAAACCAGCATCAATATTGCATTTCACATACCCTGCAGGTGGAGCACTCCACTAATGTGAGCTAGAATTACCGCAAAAGGCCCTATTGTCAGATTGAACCGAAACTGATCTTGAGCGTCACGCCACTGCCGAAGGAAAGAAGAAGCAGCTGTGACAATGGAGTAAGGTGAATTATAGGCATTATTCCATATGCGATTATTGCGATCAGTCCATAAAGAGTAGGCAAGAGTTGCAAATGATTGAAAATCACTTGTTGACAGAACCTGCAGTTGCTGAAAGAAAAATAAAACAATATCATCTACAATTGCACTGCCAACATCAAATCCTGCCAAAACCTAATACAAAGGAGCTTTGCTGCAACCAAATAGAGCATGAGGAATAGTTTCTACAGAAGCATAGAAAGGACATGTAGTAACTTGAAGAATGCCCCGCCGAGACAGCACAGACCTTGTGGGCAAAATACCCCGAGCTGCTCTCCAAAGAAAGTGGCGAATCTTGGGGTAAGGGGATATTGCCACAATCTAGCCCAAAAGGGAGAAGACGAGAGAGACTTAAGTTGAGCCAGTCATTACAAACTGATAACCCGATTTGACATAGTAGGCTCCATTTTTAAACCCATGCCAAACTAGCCATCTTCAGAGTCATAAAAAAAAAAAAAAAAAAAAAAAAAAAAAAAAAAAAAAAAAAAAAAAAAAAAAAAAAAAAAAAAAAAAAAAAAAAAAAAAAAAAAAAAAAAAAAAAAAAAAAAAAAAAAAAAAAAAAAAAAAACTGGGATAGCCAACACCTTAGCTGCATCCTGCAGAGAAAATAACCCACACACTAGATCCTCATTCCGCCTATTCTGGCTTACTTCACCTAAATACCATTATTGTCAAATCCTCAAAACCTTCTACCGGCAATGACTGGATATAAAAAGGATCGTCAGATGGAATCCATAGTATATATTACATCTAAACTCTATTGGATAAAAAATAAAAAATTATATTATATATTAATAAGGTATATATTAAATATGGTAAGAATACAGTATCTTTTAAGGATTTTAATTTTATTGATTGAAAACATAAAAATAATTTAATTTTGATTGGTTATAGGATTTTAATTTTATTGATTGAAAACATAAAAATAATTTAATTTTGATTGGTTATATTAATGTTGTGTTTAAATATAAATTTTATTGGATAAACTAAAAAATTATATCATATACTAAATAAGATATAGTCTAATTGGTCTTCCTACCTCTCGTATAAGATGTAAGGCATGAGAGTTCTCGAGTTCGAGTCCTCTCCACCATAAAGGTTATTAACAATTTGAGGAACGAATTATTGGCGACAGCCCAAACAAGTCACTGAATGTGGGTGGGGGTGGGGGAAAAGAAATACGGAAGATTTTATAGATTACAAATAATTTGAATATGTTATGCCTTGAGATACCTATTTCTAGTGATTTAATGGGAAAATATTTTTGTACATATACTGAGTATTATGATTTTTAGAAGATTGCGAACCTGTTAGCAGAGTATATATATGCACAATAGGTTTGTGAAATTTATTTGGGGACCTAATCAGCTTTTCTTGACTTAGTTTTTAGTGAGCTAATTTATTGTTTCACATGTATAGTTTGAACAAGGAAGAAGTTCAAAGACGAAATACCGTTAATGTCCCATGGCCATTATAATGAATTTTCATTGTGTATTTTTTTTTTTTCACCAGTATCGAGACCTTGTTACCAGGGGCCGCCTAATCTGACTAGGGGCTTAGTTACAGTTAAAGCTCTACGCCCCATTCTACAAGTGTATTTAATAGGGATCGAACCAGAGAGCTCTTTCTATATGCCCAATTTGCTTTGCCAATTGAGCCATGACCCTAGATAATTTCCATTGAGGTTTAATATCTTTAAATTAATATTTCATTAAAAAATAATTTTAATCAATTTTATTTAACTTTCCAATACCTTCAAACTAAACAATGTTAGGTTATTAAACATTTATTTACCTTACCTTTATTCCAAATATAAAAAAATTATTTTCCAAG